TGAATGCTGAAGAGGTATAAGAAGCACTAAATGCCATGAGGGATGGAGAGTCTGATGGTGGGGAGATAAGTAAAGCATCCTGTCGGCTCAGCATCTGACAGCGATCATATCATATTTAGACGTTTTATCCTAATGTTACTCATAATTGTTCAAAATTTTGATTAATTATTAAATTTTTGTTTTGCCATTTCTATCGTTTATTGTTCGCTTCTGTGTTGCTATTTATTCTAGTCTGCCTGTTTCCTGAAGAAAAAAAAAATCAGATCTGATGTAGGCTAATGAATAAAATCTTTTTTTTTTTTACCCAAAGTTTATTGTTGTTGTTCTTGTATAATTCAAATTATAAATGATATAACTAAACAAATTAATAATTAATTATGTGAAGCTGCGCACTTTATTTTGTCGTCACATCATCCTATGCAATGTGGTGAATTATTATTGCTCAATATTGTCTATAGGCTATTTTAGTAATTTAAAAAACATAGGTTATCTTAATATATTGACACCATCGACATCAATTCCATGTGACAGTATTAAATCTAGAGTATAATTTTCGACAATGAGTAGGTCCTGGCACGTGTTGTCTAACCCCAATAGAGTTCAGAATGTCTATGAATGCTGATCCTAATGCATTTTTTCATTATTAACACGTATGTTAAAATCACCAACAATTAAAACTTTATCTGCAGCCAGCACTAACTCGGATATAAAATCAGCAAATTCTTTAATAAAGTCTGTATGGTGCCCTGGTGGCCTGTATACAGTAGCCAGTACAAACACCACAGGGAATTTATCATTAACACTTGCTTCTCTGGCTAATGTTATATGAAGCACCATTACTTCAAACGAGTTATACTGTTTTCCTCCAGCTGCGCTCCATTTTCCGGGCTGCTCTCTTTAGTGAACTGTTTTCCTTAATCTTCCTTAAGCGTAAAGGAGCAACTGTATTTAAAATGCTAGAAAAGAGAGAGTCCATAGTTTCTGTTACATCATCAAGTTGTTCTGAGGTTTTGGAAATGCTAGGGAATTGGGATAAATCAGGAAGATTACTTACAAAGCAGTCTTTTGTGGTAGAAGTGATGGTTCTACCATACTTGTAACAAGGATTAGAATTTACAGTTTTAGCTATATGAAGTTTGCACAAGACTAAATAATGATCTGAGATATCATCGCTTGGCTGCATAATTTCAACACCATCAACATCAATTCCATGTGACAGTATTAAATCTAGAGTATGATTTCGACAATGAGTAGGTCCTGAGACATGTTGTCTAACCCCAATAGAGTTCAGAATGTCTATGAATGCTGATCCCAATGCATCTTTTTCATTATCAACATGGATATTAAAATCACCAACAATTAAAACTTTATCTGCAGCCAGCACTAACTCGGATATAAAATCAGCACATTCTTTAATAAAGTCTGTATGGTGCCCTGGTGGCTTTTATACAATAGCCAGTACAAACGACACAGGGGATTTATCATTAACACTTGTTTCTCTGGACAATGTTATATGAAGTACCATTACTTCAAACGAGTTATACTTGAAGCCCGCCTTCTGAGAAATACTGAAAACATTGTTATAAATTGAAGCAACACCTCCCCCTTTACCTTTTGGACGCGGCTCATGTTTATAACAGTAATCTTGGGGGGTAGACTCATTTAAAATAATGTAATCATCAGGTTTTAGCCAGGTTTCTGTCAAACAGAGCACATCTAGGTTATTATCAGTGATCATATCATTTACAAAAAGTGCTTTCGTAGAAAGGGACCTGATATTCAATAAGCCAAGCTTTATCATTTGTTTATCCATATTGCATCTGTTTTTTATTTGTTTACTCTTAAATTGGTTTGGACGTTTTTTGTATTTTCTAGTTCGGTTAACAGACACAGTCTCTATAGTGTGATATCTAGGTGAAAGAGTTTATATGTGCTGAGAATTAACTGATTTCTGTGACACGAGGCAGCTAGCAGATGGTCGGTTTAGCCAGTCTGTCTGCTGCCTGACCTGGGCCCCAGTTAGTCAAGTACAAACTCTAAGACTATGTACCATATTTTTAGAGAGAAGTGTGGCACCAGCCCAGGAGGGATGAAGACCATCTCTTTTCAACAGGTCAGGTCTGCCCCAAAAACTCGTCCAATTGTCTAGGAAACATGTTACTCTGCAGGCATCACTTAGAAATCCAGCCATTGAGTGACAACAGTCTGCTATGTATCTCATCACCACGGTAGGGAGGGGACCAGAGCCTATTACAGTGTCTGACATCGTACTTGCAAGTTCACACACCTCTTTAATGTTATTTTTAGTGATCTCCGACTGGCGAAGTCGAACATCATTAGCGCCAGCGTGAATAACAATCCAACTGAATTTACGTTTAGCATTAGCCAGCACTTTTAAATTTGCCAAGATATCAGGCGCTCTGGCTCCTGGTAAACATTGGACTATGGTGGCTGGTGTCTCTATTTTCACGTTCCGTACAATAGAATCGCCAATATCTAGAGCACTTTGATCAGGTTTTTCAGCAGGTGCGTCACTGAGTGGGGAGAACCTGTTTGATGTTTTGATCGGAACCGAAGAGCGGTGTTTTGCCCCGCCACTATGCCGCCTCACAGTCACCCAGTCGCCCTGCTGCGGAGGCATTGTAACCGGAACCGAACCATGAACAGGGCTCCCTGAGCTAGTCGCATCCAAAGTCGTATCTAGAGCCCTCACATTCTTACTATCCTCAAATAAAGTTTGGATGTGTGTCTCTAATTCTGAAATCTTCTCTGTCAAACTAACCAATTTCCCTGCATTTATCACATGTGAATTCCTCGTCGACGACAGAGAGAGCTAAACTATACATGTGGCAAGCGGTGCAAAAAACAATAGCAGGAGAAGAAGCCATTACTCACCGTGACTGAAGAATGATTCTGACTTACCACTGTTGTTTGATGAACTCGTGAAAAAACGGAGCGAGAGAGTAAAGAAACGGAGTGAGAGAAAAAAAGAAAACAGCAATATACGCGAATGGAAACACAAATGACAAGCTAACCGCTAACAAATGCTAACGCGGGGGTTGTAGGGGTCCGTCCGTGGAGGCCGGGCCGAGTGCCGAGGCCAGGCTCCTTGAGTTCCCTGTCCCGCCATGGCCTCCTGAACTGTTTGCTCCGCCATGGCCTCCTGAACTGTCTGCTCCACCATGGCCTCCTGAACTCTCTGCTCCGCCATGGCTTCCAAGTCTGCCTGCTCCGCCATGGCTCCTGAGCTCCCTGTGCCGCCATGGCACCCTGGACTGTCTGATCTGCCCTGGAGGTATTCCCCGTGTCCCAGTCTGGCACCAGCCTCCAGGGCGCCCACCCCCCAGTAATGTCAGACTCTGTTCCGTGTTTTGTGAATGTCTGTATGTGTCTACCTTCTCTGCTATGTGTGTTTTCCTGGTTCCCTGGTTATAATTAAAACCTCGTTATTGATGTACTCCTGGTCCCCTCGTTCCTCGCTCCAACACAGTAGCACCGTGACAACTATAAATGCTTGTCAGTACATTCAGCGATTCTTTAACCATATTTCAAAGACAATATAAGTAATTATGAAATTACATGTAAAGATGTATTTTAATTCTAAAAAAAAACAATTCCATTCAATATACATTTATAATATAATACATTTTCTTTTATTTGTAAATAACATGCACTCAAGTGTCTGAAAACATTACATTTAAGCCTATTATTTTAAAGTATATATAATTGTATTCAGCATGTGATTGCCTGATGAACATGTGACACAGCTGACGTGAGTTATTTTGGGTCATTAGTTTTCCTATGGGTCAGTTGAGTTGACAATAGACACACGTCAACATGCAGTTTCATTACTGAGATAAATCCTAATTAAAAACAAGCTAAAAGATGTGTATCAGATTTAATTAGAAAGATACTCAATGCCTCATTTAGATTTCCAATCAGGCTTGTATTAAAAATACATTACAAAATATACACACTTCCTGGTGAGATTAAAAAGTCAATGTGAAAATATCTTCTGCACTGCACAGTTTTATTTTCTCGCTTATCGGTTTATTTATATATTTTTGGGACAGTAGTAACTGTTCAAGTGTTTGTGGTGTTTTGTTTCATAAATCATTTGAAGGACCTGCACCAGTATCTACTGATCCAGATGGATATTGACTTGTAGCATGTTGTCATTAGCAGTTGCCTGACAACAGATGCTGTTTAAAGAAAGTTAGGACAACATAATTTTGCCCCTTGAATAAAAACAGTAACTTTAATTCATCATGTTATTCATGCATGAAATATGAATCACCTGCATAATATATAGCTGCTATTCCAGACCTTCAATTACTCATATATGAATCACAGCTTGTGATTGGCATATTGCATTAGCATGTGGCCTTTCTTTGCCATTTTCTTTCAAAATATGCTTCTTTCTAAATATGATCTTAATTAAAATAAAACTGGAACATAGCCACAAGAAAATTAATGATTTGAAAATAATTACAAATAATCATTTTGCCCATTTAAATTGATTCATTTACTTAATGATATGAAATGGCTGAAAGTTATCAGAAAAGCAACATTGAGACAATTAATGCTGTGCCAGAATGAAGACGATATCTTACAAGCTCAGGATGTGTGCCCCCGGACACCAGTGGATTGAGCCTCTTTCACCTGTTGTTTACAGCTATCAGCAGCACATTAGCCTGTAATCAAAGGCACCATAGAGCTGCAGCAATTTCTCATGTGATCAAGAGGATTTTCAATGCTCAGCCTGAACAGTATCATTAACACCGCATGTTTATTGATTAAATATCGATTCTGACCATTAGTTGGTACTTTCTGCAGAATAGAGCTTCAAACTCAAAAAAACATGAAGTCATTTTTTTTGTTATTCAATCAACACATGGGGAGCAAGAACAAGCGCTAAACCAGAACATTTCAACTGTCAATTGTATGTGTTGCTTTTTTCTTATTTTTTGAGGAAATGTTGCAAATTTTGCAATTCTCTTTATGTCTCTTAACAATAACGTATGCTGCAGATGAGTTTAAATGCCAGATTAGGAATGATTAAACTCATTTGCGAATTATAAAGGCAGTTTTTTTTTCTCACAATTGTTAATTTATATATTGCAATTCTGACTTTTTGTGAGATTTTAACTTCCAATTGAAAGTTATAAAACCCACTTCTGAGGAAAAAAAATACTATTTTCTTACAATCGGGTGTTTATATCTCAAAATTCTGACTTTTTTTTCCTCAGAATTGCGAGTTTATATCATGCAATTCTGATTTTATAACTTGCAATTGCAAGTTTAAATCACACAATTCTGAGATAAAAGTACGAATTGTGAGATAAAAGTCGCAATTACCTTTTATTTTTTATTCACTGGTGGAAACAGGCTTCAATAATAAACAAACATTACATTTTTTGTTTGTTTGTTTGTTTTTCATTGAATAAATCATGCATTAAAAGGGTTAATGGGGGAATGGAATGTGATTGTAAGCCTATGAAGGAGAGTCATTAATTATCTGTTTTGAACGTAAGCAGTTTCAGTGTCCGTGAATAGATCAGACTGCCTGAGAGTCTCTGGCTGTGTCAGCAACCCTTGGCTATTAATTTGAAGCATTAAGTGACTCGAATATCCTTGACACATTGTTGAAAAAGAAGCTTCAGAGACTGTAAAGCAGGGTTCCTCAAATATTGTCCTGGGCCAATGCGCTGCAGAGTTTAGCTCCAACCCTGATCAAACTCACCTACCTGTGATTTTCTAATGATCCAGAAGACATTGGTTAGTATGCTCAGGTGTGTTTGATTAGGGTTAAAGCTAAACTCTGCAGGAAAGTGGATCTCGTGGGCCATATTTGAGGATCCCTGCTGTAAAGGGTTTTGCAAATGATTGACTAAAGACAAGAAATCAGTTTATTTCAATGCTCAGCGATTCACAGTGTTTGTCTTATCAATAAGTACTTTTAATCAGACAAAACCACTCAAATGCACATCGGTTAATGCTGCATTCAACCTCCCATCAGGACATATTATTCAGACATACTACTCCAGCAAGTAAAAAAATAAATAAAATAATAATAATACAATATTGCAGCAGTGTGATATGACTAATAAGTGCAAAAACTAAATTAAGCCAAGAAAATGAATATTACAACTGCCAATAATTTAATAGTACATTATATATACTTCTCAGCTGGTTGTTTTCAGGGTGATCTGGGGTGTGTTTTCCCAAAGCAACTATGGTCGCAAGTTCCATCATTACCAATAGAGTTCAATGAAACTTGCGACCATAGTTAGCTAACAATGCTTTTGGAAAATGCACCCCTGATCGATTGTGGACAGCAGAGGAAAATAATCCTAAATGCAAATAATAAAACTAATCATATACTTGTTCATAGATAGATAAAAATGAATTAAATTTAAATAGTACTATTTAAAACAAACAAACAAGCAAAATAAAAAGTGAAAAAAAGTGAATAACAAAAAACTAAATAAAAATGTTCAAAATAGTAATAAAATGATAATAGTATATAAAACATGCCTTCATTTAAAAAAAAAAGGCAACAAAATATAAAGGCAAGTAATACCCATACTGCAGTACATGGTTTATCATATACATTCTGAGTCTCAGTGCAAAATTTGTTAAGAAGCATTGCATTTTATAAATACTACTTTTAAACGTATATTGTAGTTAGTATAATGTGATTATTGTACTACAATACAATATGATATGATAAAAAAAAAATCTGTCATCACCATGTGTCACATTTAAAGAACTTGGCATGTGTCATTGTCACAGTGCAAGCCAGGTTTTTGGTTTACATCTGTCACGTAACCAAACATGATGTGTCAAGTTTCAATGTGTGTATGTGCAAATGAGGACTAGAACATGGGAAAATGATCTGCACATGAGTTATGTGAACTCCTTTCATGGCCCCTTTCTGGAGATAAACACTGCATGGAAAAGAGCAGCGTGAACATTATGCTAAGCATCTCCTTTTGTGTTTCACAGAGGAAAGAAATGGGTTTGGAACATAAGTAAGCGACAAAGTCTCATGAAGTCTCAGCACACCTGTCAAACACGGCCTGGCTTCATTTATTCATGCTGCGATGCTGCTCAGGCATGACCATTCCACCCCGGCCATGCTCTTTGCGCTTAAAAAGCGTACCAGCAGTTAAATGTGGCTGAGTAAAAAAAATCCATAATTTAAAGGAGTAATAAGAGCCACATCCAAAAGGTAAAGAGGGAGGTGTTGCTACAATTTATATAAATATTTTCAGTATTTCTCAGAGCTTTGGTTTCAAGTATAATTTGTTTGAAGTAATGTTGTTTCATATAACATTCTCTAGAGAAATAAATGTTAATGATAAATCCCCTGTGCCATTTGTACTGGCTACTGTATACAGGCCAGCAGAGCACCATACAATTTAAAGTAGTAATACAAGCTTTTGAGTGTGCCGCTAAATTTGAAGTGAATTGCAATCTTGGCAGTCCGAAAGTGCAGCGTGGAGGAAGCATTTGTGATTAAGTGAGACCTCCATGGTAAATAGAGATTAATGCAGAAATATTCCTATGGCATTTCTAGAAGTGGCTACAGATAACTTTATTCACAAGATGTCAGCTTTGGCTCCTGGATGCTGTAAACTGGACCGTAAGCTCTTTCAAAGTACTGTGTCGGATTATGCTTTGCTAGTCATTAAAATGTAATGCCAGCTTCAATGCTGTGTAAGTTCCCGGAAGAATAAAACTTTATGATTACATTTCAAATTGATCTGGATGTTCACTGCAGTCTTACAGCTCTGTCTCTCTCGCTTGCTGACGTTCTCCCTGGTTGCGGCTCTGGCAAAAGATGAGAGAAACTACAGGACTCTGAGGACAGCCGTTGATGTGCCTTGTTGAAATAGTTGGCCTAGTTTGCCGCTCTGTTTTATGCATTTGTTTGGCTCATTTCGTGTTGTCATACAGTGTGACATCATAATGATTCAGAATGAAAAGGTGTGACTCAATGTTTCATCAAATGTCAAACAAGTTGTTCGGGCCTTAGGGATGCGTAATGATATTATTACTTGAGACAAAGATGATATTATTACTTGAGACAAAGATGATATCGCAGCTAACAGGTTGCAAGATCATCAGTGAAAATATACTGTATGAGCGCAAATATGATGGAACAGCAGAGCACCATACATACTTTATCAAAGAATTTGCTGATTTTCTATCTGAGTTAGTGCTGGTTGCAGATAAAATCTTAATTTTTGGTGATTTTAATATCCATGTTGATAATGAAAAAGATGCAATGGGATCAGCATTTAAACTCTAATGGGGGAATGGCCCATTCGACCCAACATCGAGGAAGTGGTCGATCTGGTGGTGCTGGAGCAGTTCATCGCTCGGCTACCACATGGAACGGCCGAGTGGGTCCAGTGCCACCGACCGATGTCGCTGACGCAGGCCATCCAGCTGGCTGAAGACCATCTGGTGGTGTGCCCTGGGGTCGGCGAGCCCTTCATTAACCTTTCTCTCTCCAACCCCTCTCCTTCTCTTCCTGTTCTCTCTCGCCCTATTCCTGCTCCCAGATCACGTAGCAATGCGCCCCCTCGATCCCCACAGTGGAGAAGTTTCTTCCAGGGGAACATATCTGGGACACAAGGGGGCGTGGCGGAGAGCGCTGGAGCTGCTGCTCCATCTCCACCTTTCTCTTCTCTCCGCCAATCTCTTGGCCATTCTTCTGACGCTGGCGCGGTGGGAAGGCCTGCTGGAGATGCGGGGACCCGGGTAATTTTCAGGACCAGTGTCCAATGATGGAGGTAGGAACACTGATCCAGGTCCCAGACTCCCCGTGGGCTGGCCCGATCAAGCCGGGCAGTACCAAATACCTGTGAGTATTAAGGAGGGGGGAGGGTACATATCAGGCTTTGGTGGATTCAGGCTGTAACCAAACCTCCATTCATCAAAGCCTGATTCAGCAAAGTGCATTGGCCACTCATGACCGCTCCGCAACCGGTGAGAGATGCGACCGTCGCTAGAGTTACACGGTGACAAGGAGCTCCCAGCACCAGGACCTGAGACAAGAACCAAGGTTTCCTCCACATGTCTAAGGCACGTAGGCATCGCCGCAGAACCTTGAGCATGCGTAGCGGGTTTCCCCTCTGGGAGAACCCCTTGATCTTGAGCCACCAATGTTGGGGTCTCATGTACAGCAGGCCAAAAGGTATCATGTTGGATGCAGCTGCCATCAGACCCAGCAGTTTCTGGAACTGCTGACAGTGAGTGACCGGCCTTCTCTCACTCTCGCGACTGCAGTGAGGATCGACTAGAACCAAGCAGGAGACACACATGCCTGCATCATGGTCGAATAGATAACAGAGAACCCAGTTCTCAGTGGTTCTCTGTACTGGAGAAATCACACTTTCTGCTTGACAGTGAGTGACTGGCCTTCTCTCACTCTCGCGATAGCAGTGAGGATCGACTCGAACCGAGCAGGAGACAAACGTAACTGCATCATGGTCGAATCCCACATCACGTCCAAATAAGTGGTTCTCTGTACTGGAGAAAGCACACTTTTCTTGGCATTAAGTCTTAACCCCAGCTCTTTCATGTGAGCGAGAACGACATCTCGATGCCGAACTGCCATCTGCTCAGATTGAGCAAATATCAACCAATCGTCGATGTGGTTGAGTATGCAGATGCCCTGGAGTCACAGAGGAGCCAGAGCAGCATCCACACACTTCGTGAAAGTGCGGGGTGAGAGTGCAAGGCCGAACGGAAGAATCCGGTAAGCTTTTGCCCCCAAAAGCAAACCTCAGGAACTTCCATCCTTCTTTGGAACGATGAAGTACCGGCTGTAGAACCCAGACTCTCAGTTAAAAGGAGGGACCACCTCGATGACCTCCTTCCACAAGAGAGAGTTTACTTCTTGTTCTATTCCCAGAGCCTGCTCGGGGCCCACCAGAGTGGGAATGACCCCGTTGAAACGAGGCGGAGGAGAACCAAACTGGATTCGGTAGCCACTTTCTACAGTGTGCAGGACCCATTGAGACACATTTGGCATCTACTAAGGGAATCAGTCTCTTGAGACTGACCTCTGGTGTAATCAGAGCGGCTAGGTCGGTGCCCTGAAGCGGCGAACCGGCAGGGGACAGCCGAACTAGCTACTCTAGAGACCTCCGAATAGGTAGTGAGCCTCTTAGTACCACTACGTTTCCGGGAGGTGACTTCAGCAAGCTCATGCAGAGCAAGCGGTAGCCCCCTGGGTGACAGGCCAAGACCTAGTTACGATTCTAGGCGCTTGGTCGTATCCCCTTAAAGGAATCTCTTCCTGATTCCAAGCCTTTGAGCTCAACCCCGGGCCCAGGAGTTCTGGCCCTAACAGGTAAGTTTATGGGGTATGCAGCTTAGGCCTTTGGCCGTAGGGGATAACGTCACTGACAGCCGTCTAACCGTCCCAGGGGCAACTTTCTTGAAGCTTTGGTAGAGTTGGTACTTAGTGCTCGTCTGTGGTTTGGCATGCACTCCCCTCAGCATGGTGGCATGGGTATACCATGGTTCCCTGAGTAGGGAACGAGACACTGCGTCCTCTAGTTTCCTTGCCATGCTTCGGACGCAAGCTTCAGATGAAGAAGCGGATTTAGCCTCTTTATACTGTGGTCACACCGGTAGTGATGTCATAGGCTGTCGCCGGCCATCGTGTTGTTGTTGTTTTGAATGTATGCTTCAGACACGGGTCACGTCGAGGCGTTCCCCATAGCGACCCCTAGAGGATGCAGTGTCTTGTTCCCTACTCAGGGAACCATGGTTACATATGTAACCTGAGACGTTTTTGGGTTTAGGTTTTGAGCAGCAAATCAGTATATTAGATTGATTTCTGGATGATAATGTGACACTGAAGACATAATATTGATATGAGACGTGACTGTTTGCTAGGCCAACAGGTTCTTTTTCAGCACCGGGAAACTGGGACGTTTGGTCACCCATTTGTGTGTGAATTATAAAGCCTAGTTACACACTATAGCTCATTTACTTGAGCGAGCCGCTGTAAAATATAATCTCGGACGACTCACGGTACGCACTGCATGACATTATACAGTGCTCGCTGTTTCTGCCAAAGTTCAGCGAGACCTCTCTTGTTTTCATGAAAGAATTTGAGCAATACCTTTCATTGATCCAGTTGTCTAAGAACAAAAAAGCTTTAACACTTTATCTGTTTGTAACTCTTTTCCTATCTTTAATGACATGTAAGTCTCAAATAGTTTTTTTTCAGTTTGTAATGTTTTTCTTTTCTTTTTTTTTTGTTGTCATTGTTTTTTGATAAATGTATTATTGTTTGTATACTGTTTTTGAACGTTAATTTTAAAATGTCAGCGAGTTTTCCTTTTCAATACTCCAAATTCGCTGTGGCGCTGTCATCGTCTTTCTTCTTCTGCCGTCTTCCTCAGCTCCTGATTGGTCATCCTCAGATAGATCTACAAATCGGCTCATTCAACCGCACCCACCTCATGAATTCAAGCCGACAGCTCCCAAACTTTTTTGACATGTTTAAAAATTATTGGGAGCTCGTGAGGCGCTAGGGTCGTAAATACTTCTCACACGATGCGAGCCACGACCATACGAGCATCAACGATTTCCACGTGATTTTTCCCCATGGGAAAAAATTGCATATGAGGTCGTACAAAAGCAAAAATCGCACCATGTACGCCCAGCTTAACACAATATTCAGCAAACTGAGGCCATGTCCACACGTATACGAGTTTTTCCTTCTGTTTTAAAAAAAAATCTCTGTACACATGAAAACGCAAAAGCATGCTATGAAGCACTGTCAAGAGCATGCCAAGCCAACAGGTGGCGATATAATCTCAACCGTAAAGCCATGTTTGGCCAATCAGAAGCCTTAAAAAGTTTCCAGTAGGCAGAGATTATAGCACATGCTCCGATGTCGCAAGTCAAAATCTCCGGTTTCGCTGTCAACACGATAACACTGCAACCGGAGTTTTTGAAAATCTTCACCCTGGCAGGAGTTTTCAAAAATGTTCGGTTTCAGTGACCTGGGGCCTGAGTGTGTGAGAGTGCATCCTTTATAGTCCTCTTGATATATGACAGGTGAGACCGGTAATCAGTTCCAGATAAGGGGCTTATGGGAATTGTATTCCAGACAGGGAACAGATCGTGACACCCAGACAACTTGCCTGTGTAGCGGTGTTAAGGCTTGCCTTGCAGAAGATACACAGGCAGTCGTCTGGACAATGCATGAAGTTGCAATGCGGGACAGTTGTATTGTTTTATTAAATAACTATAAATATTAAATAATGATAACAAAGATTAATTAATACTGTAAAAAAATATTGCTCATTGTTAGTAAATATTAATCAATGCATTAAATATAAAGTTAACAAATGGAACCTTATTGTAAAGTGTTACCATCATCATGTTACACAATTAACACGCTATTCGACTATTAACAGCATTAGAATGAAAGAAAGACAGATTAGTACAATATTATAAGAACATTTTTGACTATCATTTTATTTTAATTATTGAAATTTGTATTCCCTGAGTTTAAAAAAAACAACAACAAAAAAAAACAGTTCCTTTCTGATGTATGTACAAAATCTACACATGGGTAATGCTTCTCTCTGTCATCTTCAAGTTGTTTTAAGATGTAACTGCATGCCGATTTTGCAAGTGAGTGAACGTGGTTTTCTTTGTGTGAGCAGAGGATAAGAAAAGGCTCTCTGCTGTCAGCTTTCACAGACATGAAGAGTGTCACAGCAGTTCTTCTAAACAATTAGCCTTCATTTGTAAATAATCAAGCATTAGAAATGCTAATTGGTTAATCGTATCAGTGATTTAACAATGAGTACGTTTACATGGACAACAATACTCCGATTTTAATACGATTAAGACAATACTCTGATAGACATGTACACACCTTAATCACATTATTACCGTCGTGTAGAACTTTTCGCTGCATTTTGCGACAGGATACACACACGGCAGTGCTCAACCGTTTGACGGCAAATAAAAGAGCTTCAACACCCGCCGTCATCTGTATGCACGTACAAATAATTAACTGCACTTGAAGCTTTCATAAAATTAAAAATTAAAAACCCAAAACAGTGCATGGCATCATCACGAAGATGAACTATATGTTTATACGTGAAATTCCGGAGGGGACGTCGGATGGCGTCACGTGGGGACGTAATGACGTGTGCCATTAATCGAACTATGTACTATAACATGTAAAACGGAAACATGAAAGGAATATTCTAAAAGCAATTCATGTAAACATGTTAATCATAATATTGGCTTATTTAGAATAAGGCAAATAATTATATTACTGATGTCCATGTAAAAGTAGTCAATGTCACATTAAGCACTGATTAGAAGTTGATTGATCGAATTGAGGTCAGCTATTAGTATTCACATTTTCTGCCATTCTTTACAGTACACTCTAAAAAATGCTGGGTTAAAAATGTAATGTAAAAATTTAACCCAACGGTTGGGTTAGTCCATATTTGACCCAAAGTTGGGTTGAAACAACCCAGCATTTTTTAGAGTGTATGCATGAATAATATATATTTAAGGGGTGTTTTAATTGTTTTACGCTACATCCTAATGGAAATGACTAAACCCTGTCTGCTCCAAATAAAGCGTCAGAAATAACCTCCAACAGGAAACAGTGAAGTGTTGATCACGATCCAGAGCTTGCCTGTATAATCATACACCCAGAAATATACCTGCGACAGTGAACAGCTGCTGCATCCACTGGGACTGAGGAAGGCCGAGTGATAATTGTGTCAGCTTGAGTGTTGAGATCCCACTCGTTTCCTCTGGCTGTACTTAATACAGTTATTGGTAGATTAGTATGTTTCCAAATATATTTTATTGGTTATTTGGCCGAACTTGTTTAAGTTGAGAACACATTCTGATCTTACTAAGGCATAGGGACTGATGGTGATGTGCTATAATTTAGAATTAATAGATGCATTCTTGTCAAAA